ATTACAGAGAAGTAAATAAAGTGGTGCTTAGCTAGACATTGTTGACTAGTGGGGTCATTGACTTTTTTGTTGTTGATTTAGCTAATGCCTTCTTTAGTGTTGATACTCATGCACATCTAGGAGTGTACTTCACAATGGACTGAACAAAGGCTTATAGACTGACATTTTCACCTCCCTTATAATCTCACAATGGCTTGTTTCATAGAATGCCAGATGCTAAAGGAAGCTCTGAAGACACATCAGCACTCCCTGGGAAGCTCAATCTGAACAACATTGTTGCTTTCTTATCCCCATGCTGGGGGAATAACACTTGTACAACCTTGACATCTGCCCCCAAATTGTGGGTAAGTGGACTAGTACTATAAAATGTCACAACACTGGCCCAGATACAATTCCAAAATGCACAGTGGTAATCACCATGTGGCAGTTTAGGACCCCTCCTCTCACTTTCCAGAGTGCCTGTAGGTCTGATCAGGCATGGTATAGAAAGCCGGGGAGACCTCCTTGACATGTTACTTTATTGTCCCAAGAGAGAACTATTGACTGCATATTACCTGGCAATGGAGATTTCCCTTCCACTAAAACACTTGCCTTGTCACTAAGCTTTGGAACAGGGAAGGCATTCATTCCTGCACTGGGCTGGCATAGTGGTACAAGTACACAAGTCTGCACATTTGCTGTTCTCCACCTTCCCACTGTCAGCTATGGCTGAAATGCCATGAAGAATGTGCCTGGCTAACCAGACTGAATGGGTTTTTCTTCTGCTTGGTTTGGTTCCCCCTTAGCAGCATTGCAAGAAATGATTTTCTAATCATGTAGTCATATTTTTACTGCTATTTGAAACATGTGTTCTTTTTTTTTGAGAGAGAGGTTTTTCATTATAGGGCGCATGCGCTCGCCAGACAGACAGAGAGAGACAGAGAGACAGAAAGTGAGAAATCACTCCCAAGAGGGGATGGCCACGCTGCAATCCCTTCTCCTCCATTCTCCTCTCGGGATCTTGGGCATGCACGCACACGCGCCCAGTGGGGGTTTTAAGCCACCGGATCTGGGACGTGAACCGCGGTCGACTACGTGGGAGTCCAGCGACATAGCCATTACGCTAACTGCTGGTTCCCGAAACATCTGTTCTTCATGGCACTTGTAGAATATGGATGCAATGTTTGACTCACACACCTGCTCCAGGGAACTGGTGGAAGATCAATGACTCACTCACAAAGTCTATAAGGGTACTATGAGAGTCAATGTTGGGATGAATTTAGAGCAGGCATCGAGTTCTCTTCCCCATCCCTCACTAATCTGTCTTCCTTGAGACCAAGCTTCAGAGCAGCACTTCAGCTTGTGAAGAATCTGTGACTACACCCTTCACCTCATGGAACTGGTGCATGGCCAGCATGATTTCACAGATATGCAATCACCTCCCACATTAACATTATAAGATTATGAGCACTAACTCTAAACATATTCTGCTATTCTGTTAATTGATAAGCTAATCTTTTATCGTAACTTTCAAACAATGAATATACAAACCAGTCCTGAGTTGTTGACTTGAACTTGCATTAGTCTTTTATTCATTTATGAATGCATTATTCTTAACATATGCAACCTAAGCCTGTCCTCCCTAATGATGAGGAGCATTCTCTGCCTGGCTATCAGTGAAGCTCCCTGTCTACATTATGTAACTAAATAGGCTCATGTCTTAGCATGCTGGACCTGTAGGTGTGTTCTTTGGCATCTCTAAACATTAGAAGAAAGCCCTCTCAGATTTGGGGCTTCCTCCATGCATATGAGTTCACTACTTGAAAAATTCTAATATCGCTACCCTTTCAAAATGTACAGTATTCAGTAACCCCAGAAAAGGACCTGATTTCACCCCAGTCAATCCTTGCTGTCATCTTAAGCTAATTTTGTTTATTCTAGATTTTTCAAAAATAGATGTGTGCATGCTAATATGTACTTCTTTTTAGTCTGCTTTATTCTTTTCTGCTCAATGTTTCTGGAATTATTCATATTATCATATGACTCACTAAGTCATTACTTTCCATTACTGATTCAATTCTCAACATACCCATAACACAGTTACAGCCACAGACACACAGATTGGATATCTGAGTGTGGGCTGCATTTTTGTTTTTTGGCTGCATCTTCTGCATCTGTGTCTGAGTTCAGTGTCTGTAAGTCTGTCATGTGCATAAATCTGTGCTGTATCTCTGTGTTTCTCTGTTTATATATACACCTGTGTGGATGCCTGAATGAGTGTATGTCAGTTGTGAAATCTGAATGGCATGTGGGGTAATTTAGGTGGGGAAGGAGCTCTTGCATGGTAAGGGGTGAGGAACTGTTCATTGTGATGCATCAGGGACAAGGGGATCTGATGCTTGAGAATGAGTTTAAAGCCTCTAAGTTGCTATTGCAGGAAGCAAACTGGAGAACACATGGGGGAAAGCTGAGCTTTCGTCTCCTTTCAATCACATCATCCTGAGTCCTACTCAACTACTCTGTGTCCTGCTAGTCTGCATACCTACCCACACACAGAACTGCCCCTGAACACTACCAAAATCTGGGATTTTGCTTGACTCCAGTACTTTCCCTGAGTGCCCTTCTCCACCTCTTTCCAGGTCCTGATACACCCCTTCTTGCTACACCCCAGCCCTTCCCCATCCCTGATTAAGACTCACCCAATTCCCTCCACACCACCAACCCCAGCCCCTATATCTCCCCTACCTTCTCCTCGGCAACCTCAGGATATCAAGAGAGGATCAAGACATGGACATGTGGAATCTGGTCTTCTGTGTCCTCCTGTTCTTTGTTCCCATCACTCAAACATTAATGTTAGTAAACAGGGTAGGGACAGGCTCATGGACTGGGTACTCCTTTGGGGCAGCTGGCACAGAAGGGAGAGTACACGAACAGAGCCTGGCCATGATGAACCCTCTGTCTTGGCCTCTGAGGTCTACTGCAGGGCCATCCTCTACTCGACACCATGAGATGTCAGCCACCCAATGAGACAGAAAACTGACACTCTCAAGGCTCCACAAAAATCAACAGGCTTAGCACTTACTTCTAGAGTGATGTAGCACCACCACACCCCTATTTAGAAATTGTTCCAACACTCCAGGATGCTCCCTCCTGCCCCGATCAGTCAAGACCACCCAAAGAGCAACTGAGCCCTGCTCCAGCATGAGTGTCTCCCTGGTTTTCAGCTATGTGCACCCTGTGTGCTCAGGGGTGTCAGTGGTTCCCTCAGTAAACTAACACTGACAGACAGACAAGATGACAAAAGCTTTATTCAGGAAAACATCAAAGAAAAGTTAAAGCAGGGAAGAAGCATGATCAGGCAGGGAAAAGAGTAACGTGTCTGTGACACCTTTTCTAATATTCAGCTATGACTGTGGTTTATCGAGGCTCAGGGTCCTCTAGATGTCACACAGGTGGTTCTGCAAAGCAAAAGGACTTCAATTCATTATCCTGTGACTTTGTATTTTCCCAAATGTGTGTTTACCTGTGTGGCTGCACCTGAGCTTTCATCACATGAATAACGGTCTCTCCCCAGACAGAGCTCTGAGTGTACCTGTGTAAGTATTCTCTTGCAGCCTTTCCTTTCTTTATGTGGTAGGATCTGAATTTCAACAGTAAGGTAGAAACTGCTTTATTTTTAGAAAATAGGCCTGCCAATCTCTGGGTCCAATCTGATCACCCTTAGGTTTGTTTAATGTACTGCAATGGACACCCTTAGACAATCTATGGGTAAATGTTTTCACTTACATTGTGAGAAGGCAGGTGCCCACTGAGTTCTGGCCACTATGGGAGATACTTTTCCACTATACTTACTCCTCTTTTCCTCACAACATTGTGAGCAATTAATTGGTATTTACATGTCATGGGCAACAAAACTGAGGCTCAGAGCAGGCCCCATGAATTGTTGGCATTGACACTAAGATAGCAGAATATAGGAGAAAAATGGGCAAGTGCCTGTGTGCAGCTGAGGCAGGGAGGTAAGGGGAGAATGTGGGGCTATGAGGACAGACACCCAGCCAGCACCTCAGGAGCAGCCTTGACCTCCCTACTGATGGTGGCCTCATTCCAGAGTCCAGGGACACTGCTCTGCCAGACTAGACCTGTCCTTGCTTTGAGTGTCACCAGAGCATGAACTCAAAAAGACAGATTCTCCTGGCAAAGCCACATGAAATTTCCCCCAACCTCCTAGGCCTTTCACACTGATCTAGAAGCGTTACACATCAGAGGGACCCAGCCATCTTTACTTCAGATTACAGGTGCAAGGCTGTAGACCAAGCAATTGACTTTGATTGGGGGGGGAGGATATTCCCCAGCCCACACTTGATCATCTGGAGTGTCTCCCAGTGACTTTGAGTGGGTCTGGTACTGCCTCCATGATTCTTGCCCTTCTCTTGTCTTTAGATCTCAAATGTAGATCTCCAGGTGTCACTGAGGCTAACACACTCCTACGTGGTGATTCCCCACTTTGTCTTCTCTCCTGATTAATACTAGGACATTCCTTCTCCCACATTGTACTCTGGGGCCTTGCTGTCCCCTTGGTGCTTCTATTATTGGTGATCCCAAGCTCTGTGACACTTAGGTGTGCCACAACTAGGACATATGTAGCTCTAGAAGTCAGGACATATCTAATCCCTCACAGGGCTGGCACGTATGGCCAGTGATCCCTACATGTATATAAAATTGCTATTTCTTGAATACAGAACCAATTTACTCATCTGTAAGAGAAGAGCCACTGGCCACCTCATGCTAGGAAGAAGACATAGTCCATGCTGTCCTAAGAAACCTAAGAAGAGCTATAATGTGTTCAGCCAGCTTGATTGTGAAGCCCTGTAGCACCATCTGGGATGTATGCATGGACTCAACATTTTCTGCCCTGGGTATGGAAATAACTAAGAGCCACACATCCTAATTTTCTTAATTGATTCCAGAGATGACAATGCATTCCAAGTCAGCTCACTAGTCTCAGATCATCTTACCTTGTGGTGGACAGGGAGGTGGTGGATGTGGCGGCAGTGGCCCAAGACACATATCTGATGATAAATGGCCCTGCTTGGGATAGGGAATCCGGGGCAGTCCTGGGAAAGGAGGGAGCCCTTTGCCAGTCATGTTGACCTGCAGAGAAGAAGAACGTCAAATTATGTTGATATGACAATGAATGATACCAACACAAAAGCTGAAAGTGAAGCAGTTGACAGTCCCTGGCTCCTTTCCTTCTACCAGTACTCATAATGATCACAAAAGTCTCCCTTCCACTGAGTCCTGGCAAAAGCAAAGGGAGAGAGGGGGAGTCATAGGAATAAACTATTCCTACCACATGTCATGGCTTGGGTCTACCCATGTAGAAAAGGCTAGGGATCGGTCCCAATGCATGAAATAAGACAACTGCAGACTAATAACAGGGCATATTCCAGACACAGGAGCATCTATGTCCAGGACAAGTCCCACCTCTCCCTCACCACCACCAACAACACAGATACTCATTACCAACAAGTTAACAGAGAAATGAGAGCAAATAAAGAGTCTGTTCACCCTATATGTAGGAACAGTTATTCTGAGGAAAACTGTCTCTGGGTCTTTCTTGTGCTATTTGATTTTCAGAACTCTATAAGCTAATAAGGACCTAAATATACTGGAAAGAATATCTGCTCTGGCACCAAGAGACCAGTGACTCCCAGGGGAGAAAAAAGTTTTCTCAGGTTCATACTGTTTACAGGAAGCAGAAAGGCAGTTCATACCAACTCTGACTGCAAGTCCCTCCCTCATGGCCCTTTCCTTCCCTCCCTAACATAGGGTCTTCTCACTGGACGTGCAGAAGTGAAACCTCAGGCTGCAGCCTCTAACCCTTCTGGAGATGCCATAAGATTCCAATGAGCTGGGAATTCTGTAGGCTCTTGGGAAAATTTTGCTTTTTAAAAAGACACAGAACACACACCAGAAGAGGTACCACATGAAAAGTTAAGGTTTCCTGACATCATCACATTGGAAAGAGCCTCAGCATTTACCTTTTTCTATTCTGCATCCTCAGGAGGGATCATGCAGCTTCTCTCCATGGGAAATGCACGACGTACAGAATCTCCTATGGCCAAACAAGTCTGGGGTTTAGTGTGACTTGCACTTTCTGTGCAGTAGAATAGCAACCCCTTCCCTCACTATCTTACTCTAGTTCATGTATGCAGGTCCCTTAGTTGAGGCAGGGAGTTTACTACATACCTCAGATGATCCACAAAGCTAATGGAAAAACTCATGCCCTGACTTGTGAGAAAGGCATTGCAGAACCCTGATTTAGGGGATTTCAAAACAAACCATTCACTGGCAGATAGACCAGGGCTCCAACTAGCTGGAAATCAGCACTAGAATAGGAGTTTCCTACTACACTTGAGGTAAAAGGACAATATAAGCACAGGCTAAAAGCAGCCATGGAAAGGAAGAGTATCAACCAATCCTGGCAAGAATAGCACCAGTCTTTTTCCTCAAGCCACAGTGTACTCTTTTTTTCTTGGTCTATAGATAATTTGCCTTCCACATCAGATAAGGTCTTGTGTAAATGTTTATGAACAGAAATGGACTTATAAGAATAATGATACCAATGAGAAAACGATAGTGCTATGGGATTTAACTGTAAAGATTTCAGAATACACAATTTCAGAGGAGTGAAATTATGTGAACTAAATTTACTAGAGTTCTATAGTTCATACTTAAAAAATCAAAACAGATAAAGAACAAAAATATCTAAAAAAACTCTCTAAATAAATGTCTACTTTCTTAAAGCAGACATGTAGAATAGACTATTTATCTAGGAAGTCAATTTAAAAAAAAATTCTTCCACTAGAACCTACAGGTGCCATTCTGAAACTTCACTGATGTAGTTTGTTCCAAGCACAAAAGTAAAGTGTGATGAAGCCTTCACCACTGACTCACAGTGAGATTGAAGAGCTCACCCACTTTCCTTCTAGGCACACTCTTCAGTGAAACATAAATGAGAGGTGGAGCTCTGGTATCCACAGTCAGTGATGGAACCTGAGCACCACCATTCACAGGGCTGGCCCAAAGAGCCATCTGGCTGGGGCACCTGAGGTTAGCAGTATCAGTCTCCCTAGGAACAATATGTATTCTGCAGCAGGATCTGAGCTGTCACTTTCTCAGGGTGCTCCTACCTTTCCATGTAGCGTTGTCCATGCTGGATTCCCCTGGTGATGGGTGCAGCCTGTGTCCCTTGGGCAGCCTCCAATATTTTATTGCCAAACTTGCAAATAAAGAATCAGGTTGATAAGAATCACAACATCAATGAGGCAGATAACCAGTTCATACCAGCTCTACTGGAAAGCCCCTCCTCATGACCCTATGCTTACTTCCATAACCTAGGGTCTTCTTTCCACTGGATATTCAAGGTGAAACCTTTTACTAGTCCTCAACATCTTAATGTTAAAACACTAAGAGCAGTGGCAAAACTGTCCATAACTCACCAGCCATAGGGGCACAGTATTTATACAAGGCATTATGATGGTAGAGCCACATGGGAAGGTCCCAAGTTCAATACCCCAACATCTCACTATTCACATGAGACCTACACATGCCCACGAACTTTGGTGGCTTGATCTGGATGTAGATAGCAGCAAGAAGACCCTGTGAGGGAACCTGTCTTTCTCTTGCTATCTGTCTGACTCTCTGAAGAAATAAAAAATAAACTCCAATGTCCCAATGTCATAACGTTCCTTCAGATAGGTGGCCTCCCTGATTTCTTCTGCCACTGCCCTGTCCACAGCACAAGTCCTGACCTGCAGGAGAGAAACATGTCCATGTGCAGTTGTGACCAACTATGCACAGAATGAAGGAAAGAAAAGAATCTTACCCAGTTGTCATGAGTCTTTTGTTCATAAATGATGTTCTGAAAAAGAAAACACATAAGGCACAGTATGTTTGGAATTGCTAAGGGCAATTATAATCCCCTCTTTCAGGTACTGGAGGATTCTGCAACTATTGAAAGAACGCAGATTACCTGGTGTTGAAGGTGCTTTTCTTTTTCTGCACTTGTTCTTGAATTTCTCATTTTTTTCATCAGACAAAGCATGACATAGAGTATCATTTTCAATACTCATCCCATGTTCCTGTTATCATCACAACTGTATCCTTATACAATTTATCAACAGATAGTACATGCCACACGAATGTACAGTAGGTTTAAAGTTATTGCTGTATAGTTTCCTTATCCATTATGGAATTCAGCAGAGTCCCCAATTGATAAGATTTTTTAACCCATCTCAATATTTCTGTACATACACTTCTTTTGAGCATCTTTTATCACAAAGCTCAATTATTCTTTTATAATATTTTTCACAGGGCAAAAACAACTGGATTGATAAAATGAAACAATCACTTTTGTGGACACGATTTAGCCTACATCAAATTGTTTTCCTAGGAATTGAGACTATTTTAAACACCCCAAGAAATATTTATGTCAACCAAGTTTCTGCATAATCTAACCAGTCCTAGGGTTCAGGTAACTTTTAGTAACTCAACATTATTTAGTTATTTCTGCTCCCACCCCCTCATTAGTCTTTTCTCTCTTTCTCTCTGTGTGAGAGTGTGCATGTCTGCACGAAACCTTTTGACCATTTCTTTCTATTTCTGTGTTAATTGAGTCTAATATTTTGTAAAGATTAAAATACAAGAAAATCCAACAAGGGTTGCCTTTGATACTGATGTTCAGTATCTGAACTCACTTTAAATACATTATTTCTTCACTAGCTGACTTCTCTTTTTCTTGTACAATTGACAGCTTCTTTTCTTTCTCTTCCCATTCATGTCATCTCATAACTATTTTCCTAAGATGGGAAGGAAATACACATTATCCAGTAGCTCACATGAAATTCCTAGTCATCTCTAAGGTCTTAAAAGTCCCTTCCCAAACTTCCCTATAACTGTACAGAATGACAAACTCTGACAGATGAAAAACGAAGTCTCCTAAGGAGAGACTAAGAAAACTCTGGTCTGAGGGAAAGTAATTGCCAAATACAAGTTTCTCTTCATGGCTCTGTGCTCTGTTCAATACTACATAAATCAGCTAAGATAAAACCACATGTGTGAAGCATTAGTGTGCTTTTTTGTCAGTCTTTTTGTTGAGAAAGTAAAAACTCATTTTAGTTCAGCTCTTCACAACTACACACATCATGGTGGGGCAGGAGATGAGGGTTTATCTGCCACCTGCCATGGGGAAAGCTGCTCTCCTTAAAAGAAAAGATGGTGCTTCACACAGTCAGAGGTCATGGTGTCATTAACCCTGTGATTCATTCCCTGACATTTCTATAATTCAGAATGGAACTCTTGCCTCCTCCCCTTCAAAGATCCTGGTTATGGGGAGAGGATAATCTCAGTGCTGGCAACATCTACTGAAATAAAAAGTGATTCAAGTTTCATAAGAAGGGTGTCAGCTCCTGCAAGAACATTTCCACTGGAAAACCATCAGCCTCAGAGTGGCTCTACATTACCAAGACTGACTCCATTGACAATAAAGGCAAAAAGGAGCAATGGTTAAACAATTACATTTGCTATTATTCTCAAATGACTTTGTTCATGGCTCTGATTCAAAAGATTCTCAACTTATTACTTGATTTTTTTTGGGGGGAAGAGAGTTTTTTTGCTACAGGGCACATGTGTTTGCCAGACAAACAGAGAGAGACACAGAAAGTGAGAAATCACCCCCCTCAGGGGGGATGGCCATGCCACAATCCCTCCTCCTCCATTCTCCTCTTGGGATCTTGTACACACACGCACACGCGCCTGGCATAAGTTTAAGCCACCGGGACTGGGACTTGAACTGCGGTCAACTACGTGGAAGTTCAGCAACATAGCCATTACGCTAACTGCTGGTCCCCCATTACTTAAATTTTTTATAGCTCACATGTGAAATAAAAATATCTCTAGAAAACAGTGACAAAAGCACTGTAGACGGATGTCTGGGCATTTTTTTCTGGCCACCAAAGCAATCCTTCAGCCAGTGCTTTCTGGATTGGCTCTTAGCCTTTGGGTGTGTGGTGCAGTGCTGAGAACACAGAGGGGAGCAGTCACCACTTCCATCTTAAAACAGGTACAGTTCAATGTACACAGGAAGTCAGTGGAGACATAGAAATCTGGCCCCATCCTTCCTTGGGTTTGGGAAGGATTAACATAAACCTTGAGTTTTGAGGGACAATACAGCAGACTTTTGCTTTTGAATAGGGGTGAGTAGATCTGAAGCCCCTGATTGCCCCCTGCAAATAGGAAGAAACAGTGGACAACAGATGGAACCCATAACTGAATGCATGTATTGGTAAGGAGCCAGTATAGAAACATGACGCAATGAAGAAAGAAAACCAGAAATCAGTCCAGCCGGGCATTTGGGCCTTTTCTCCTTTGTCTCATCAATGAATTCTGGGTGAACACTCTGGAGGTTCGAAGAAACTGAACACATGTGTGGGCTAGAAGGAAAAAAAGTGGAGGGACCAGCAGTAGGCATATTGGCTATGTTGCTGGACTCCCATGTAGTCAACTGTGGTTCGAGTCCCAGACCTGGTGGCTTAAACTCACGCTGTGTGTGTGCGTGTGTGTGTGTGTGTGTGTGTGTGTGTGTGTGCCCAAGATTCAGAAAGGAGAATGGAGAAGAAGGGATTGCAGTGTGGCCCTCCCCCCTGGGGATGATTTCTCACTTTCTGTCTCTTGTCTCTTTCTTTCTGGCGAGTACACGTACCCTATCTACAGAAAAAAAAAAACTAAACTAAAAAAAAATGGAGGAAAGCAAGTGGAGTTTAAGGTCTGTCAATAAGGTGATCTCCTGTGAAACCTACAGACTTTGATTGGGACCAAGAATTTCACACTAGAGATGAGGTGGACAGAAAACATACTGGCTTTTGTTGGGACTGAGCCTGGAGTAAAGGCTGGATTAAGGGGATCCAGTACTGCTAGGGCCTCTACCATGTACCAGAAGCAAACTTCCAACTTTCATGCAGCAAGATCACAGCATATCAGGGCTCCATTTTTCTCTAAATACTGTCCACTCAATGTCTGATGCTGAATAGAAAATAACACAATACCTAGCAGGACAGTACAATGGAATATGATCAAAACTTAAATGACTATAGAAATGAACCCAGAGGTCATCCAGATGTAAGATATAGAAGGTAGCAATGCTGGTATCAATGTCTCCACAGCCCCCCAAATTATTACAAACAAGAGGGTATGGGCCAGCACTGTGTTGCAGCAATAATGCACTACTAAAGAGGAGCTGGGTCTCAGCAGCGACATCATTTTGAATTTTAGACTGAAACATGCCAGGCTTATTCACAATTGTTGAAGAACTGATGGATGGAATGACTGGAGGAAAGAAATCATTGTATGACCAGACTCTCTTGAGTTGAGTGTGCTCTTATGCTCTTATCCATTTCTCCTTCTCTATATTTTTTTTTTGGAGAGAGATATTTTTGCTATAGGGTGTGTATCCTCAAGGAGAGACAGAGAAACAGAAAGCAATAAATTACTCCCCAAGGTGGGTGACCATGCTGGAATCTCTGCTCATCCATTCTCCTCTCGGGATTTTGAGAATGCACACACATACACATACCCTGGAATTTCAGGTTGCCAGGTCCAGGACTCACACTGCAGATGGCTACGTGGGATTCCAGCAATGTAACCATTGTGCTATCTGCTGGTCCCTCTTTCTTCCTCTCTGTCTCTGTCTCTGTCTCTATCTCTCTGTCTGTTATATGTGCACATGTACCATTATGAGCGAAGAAAAATAATGTAACACAGCCAGTTAGACAGAAAAGAAAAATGTCAGTTACCAAAACCAAAGCAAGAAGAATGAGAGCAATATTGTGCTAAGTGAATTTGGAATGCACGGTTTCAAAATGATTCTAAAATATGTTACAGTAGTCTGCTCAACACATATATTCTACTCAGCAGTATTTGTATCAATGAATATACGAACATCTTACTCCTCTGCGGCCTCCCTACTTCCTTCGCAGATGTCATAAATATTTTCTACTTTTGTTTGCAGTGTTTTGTATTGCACTTCCTTTGCTGCTTTCACAGATCTCAGGGAAGAGAAGGTGTCTTCCATGTCCTTCTTTCTTTCTGGAAAGGATGAAACAGTTTTCACATGGGTGCACATGGACCCAAGAACAAGTTGAGAAGAGGCCAAGATTCCTAGCCCAGGAATTAATAAAAATTAATTTTCTGTAACTGTAGAATTTATAGTTAATCGTGTTGTAGTAGCA